ATTCTTATAACTTGAAAAATACAGCATACATTAAAATGCAAAGAAAAGGTAGCAGCTTGGGGGAACTGAAACCTATAAACCTGAATTTCGATCTTTTTCACAAAAGCCCCAAAATAACTTTGGTGCCCTCCACCTCCTTTCCAGCTGAGGGCCCTAGGGACTGCCACAGTCCCATTCCCTACAAGAGGATGGTTATCTAGGAAGGCAATTTTCTTATTTCCCAAGAAATGTACACTGTCTCAGAAAAAGTCCATGATCAAGAATAAAGCCAGTCCTTCACAGTCAGTGGTTCAAAGTGAGTTATTTATCCAGCCTGTGGTAACATTTATGTGCAGAAAATAAGCAGAGCTATGCCAAAAGAAAGACACCAACCAAAGTTTTTATGTTCTCAGGTGTCAATGTTTCCCGTTCATTTTATTGTCTGAGTTTTAATGGAAATAAATAAAAAGGTATATGGAGGATCCAATACTGCCATTGAATTCTGATTGCTGTTTTCCACTCCTCAGAAAAATATATTAAACTAAATACAGTCACATAATTCAAGTTACAGTCTGTTTTGTTCATAAAGGAAAATGCTTTCTATGCAGAAATTTGAAGGGAGAGGAGATGTCAGGTCTCCAGAAGCAGCTACCTCAAACAAAGCAGCCACAGAATGAATGCCCCGGAGATGGCTGTGACCACAATATTGGGTATCAGCCCATGTCTTCACCTCTCCTGGAAGAGGCACATGCTTTTGAGCTGCTTATTGTACCCACAAGGCCTATCTATGTGTACTAGTTTTTTTATATAAAATTTCCTCTCCTCTTTAGAGAGTATTACTTTAACTTTCTGGTTATTTTTTCTCCAACCCTTGCAGACCAGTTACTATGAGTGAGGCATGTAAAAAGAATGGCATGTGACAGTATTCAGGATGTTTCTGTTATACACAAAGATGAATGGACCATTTAAATGGCTGATTCCCCCTCCAAACTAAGGTCCCCCTGCCAGACAGGACAACTCTGCCTGTAACCTCTTACCACATGCTCTTCTAGAGTAGCTTTTTATCCCAAGCATCTAAGAGAGGGATTCTCTATTTCAGTGCAGATGACTCCATCACCCCTCTCAGGACGTGGGCTATTCTGGAAGTGTGTGTGTGTGTGTGTGTGTGTCCAACCAAAGACCCTATTCCAAATAATTAAAGAATTGGCATTTTAGGTAAGCCCACATTCTGGTTAATTAAGAATTGCCACTTATGTAAATTACCACGTCACAAGCAAACAGAGCAAAAGGCTCCCAAGGTAGTAACTTCCTTTGTATTAATTAGAAAAATGAACACTCGAGAGTTTAATAACAAAATCACACATCTTTTTCGGAGAGTTGATATCTTGTTTATGTGTATAATGACTAATAGTAATGCTGTAATTCATCACATTAGGAAAGTAATCAACAGTTCTAGCTGTACAAAATTAAAATTGACTGAGACCCTGTGTCACCCTGGCAGAAGCTAATAATTACATCAGTGTTAACTCTGTGGCCAATAGCCAAAACTCTTTTTTTTTTTTTCTGGCCACAAAATACATTTTATTTATTTTTTTTTCATCTCTTTTATTTTTCCCCATTTACTTATTTTATTGCATTTTAGGTTTTGGGGTACATGTGAAGAACATGCAAAATTGTTGCATAGGTACACACGTGGCAGTGTGATTTGCTGCCTTCCTCCCCATCACCTACATCTGGTATTTCTCCCCTTGCCCAAAACTCTTTTAAGCCTCTTTTGGTTTAAAAAGATCTGCTACATAAAATCTAGTATATACAATCTAAGCAAAGTGGATTAGAATAAAATAATGTTGATGTACTTAATCTAAATAGTTCTGCAGAGAAAGCTACTCTCATGTTTGCTGACCACTGGTAAAACATCACTCTGGACTGGGCGCTGTGCTAGGTGCTCTGCAAATGGGATCCATTTTATCCTCACCACATGCATGAAGGTAGGTCGGTGCCAGCCTCCCGGGATAGATGAAGTGAGGACTATAGCAGCAAGTAGTCAGTTCAGGAACCTGGAGCCACAGCCAAGACTCAAATCCAGGTATGTCTCAAATGGATGGACAAAGCAGCCTTTCTCATCAGTGAGCAGCTATGCTGTCTAACAAGACCTTGTACATGAGTACAGGAAACATCTTTCACAGATCTAGATTCCAACACTTGGAGAAAAACACTCTTCTTAGAAATCGTGTCTTCACTTTCACAATCAAGAGTTTTCTCATGGATAAACAAAACTGGCCAATATCCAGGGCCTTGGAGGATGTCCCCCTTGGAGGCACAGCTCATCGGTCTCTTCCTGAATGTTCCAAACAGTGGGCCAGGAACAGAGAGGGATGGAGGAAATGAAGGGTCGTTAGCCACGTAAGTGTCCTTATGAACAGATCTGATGTCGTTTCTCTCCACCTTCCAAGAATCCTAGATGGCCTTGCATAGACAAGTGACAAATATTGTCAGTTAAGTCTTTGAAGATAATGGCAAATGTCACTAAGAAACATTTTTGTTGAAAATTACATCAACTCAAGCTAATGCTGTCTCCTGGTCATGATGCCTAATGTGAGGTGACATGAGGTTAGCACAGTCATGTCTGTGGTTGGATGAAGCGGAACTCTGTTCTTAGTATGCAGAAGTTAGATTAGAGATTCTCCAGAGCTTTTTCCAGATGGATGGGAAGAGTCAGGCAGTGGCCCCCAACTCTGGAATAAACTGGTGTTCTTAGCTGGTGTGAGACCACGTATTGGACTCTAAAGATGGTCCGAAGCAGTAATCAGGACATTCTGTGTTCTATGGTTCTGGGTGTGCTGAAAATATGGGCAGGGGTTAGAAGGGAAATTTTTTCTGACTTTTTCTCTGAGGCTGTGCCTGTGATATCTACCACTTCATTAAATAAACAATCTTAAACTAAGTTATACAGAGTACTTGATTCATGTTTCCTCTCTTTTTTTGTCATCCTGATTCCATCTTTACAACAGGGAGAATAAGCCATCTCATGATTGCCTTGGACCAACTGTGCCAGGCCAGTAGAGAAAGATACACCTATTTCCCCAGGAGTAGAGAGGTTGTCCATGGTGGGGGTTGGGTGGTGAAACTGCATAACACGGCCTGTTGAATCTCCCTTTAAAAAGGTTCTACTATCCGGCCAGGCGTGGTGGCTCAAGCCTGTAATCCCAGCACTTTGGGAGGCCGAGGCGGGTGGATCACGAGGTCAAGAGATCGAGACCATCCTGGTCAACACGGTGAAACCCCATCTCTACTAAAAATACAAAAAATTAGCTGGGCGTGGTGGCGCATGCCTGTAATCCCAGCTACTCAGGAGGCTGAGGCAGGAGAATTGCCCGAACCCAGGAGGCGGAGGTTGCGGTGAGCCGAGATCGCGCCATTGCACTCCAGCCTGGGTAACAAGAGCGAAACTCCGTCTCAAAAAAAAAAAAAAAAGATTCTACTATCATGGGGGTAATGTAGCATGATTAGAGGCCAGGGGTTGCGTTTATTCACTTCTGCTTCCTCCTCTGCCTAATCCCTCTGCCTGGTGAAACCTTGCAGATCCCCCAAATCTGGGTGACACAGCAATGGACCATATAGGCCCATGTTCCCATGTATTAACCCTTCCTGTACCTACCCCTTATATTTGTAAATACAAAGTCCGTGGCTGCCTTGTTTTCTGTAATCCACCCCTTATGAATGCTGTCCTACTAAAAACATACAACAACGTTTATGGAACAATTGGAAATTTGAGCACTAACTCTATATTTAATATTAAGGAAATAGTAAACTATTTAGGAGTGAGAATGGTATTGTGAAAATATTAGGTTGTCTAAGAGTCCATAGCTTTTAGACCTATATAATAAATATTTTCAGATTGAATGACATGATGTCTAGGATTTGCTTCATAATACCATGGGAGGGGTGGCAGCTGGAGGACGTACGGATGAAACAAGATTGGTCTTGAGCTGATAATCTTTGAAGCTGGGTGATGAGTTCACTGCACTTGGTTTGGTTTTTGGTTAGTTGTGAGTATGTTAAAAATTTTCCATAGTAAAAGCTTTTTTAAAAAGAATCAAAATTGGTTAAATTTTTTAAAGTTAATATTAGAAAATTATATTTCTCAAAAATACTTTATGTGCTATTATCATGATTTATAATGTTAAATGAAATTGGAAGATCTAAAACATATAAGATATAAAGTACTGCATACAAACTACTGCATATACACATTTGTTTTTATATGTACGTGTAGGTGGAAGAAGAAACTATACAAATGTAAATTAGGGTTGCCCCTGGCTGGTGAGAATACATATTATTTTTCTCTATTCATTGTTACATTTTTGTACCTCCCAAATTTTCTAGAGAGAAAATATACTATATTTATAATTTTATAGTTATTTTTATATATAAGCCATGCTTGTGAGATATCATTAGATTTTTTTAAAAGATACAGAACTGTTTGTGAAAAAGAACCTCAACTCTGTTTTAAAATGTGTGCACATGGTGAGTGTGTGTCTCTATCTAAAATGAACAGCATCGAAAAATGAAATCTATATTCTAGATGTTGATAGGCCAAAATAAATAAATATATAAATAAATAAAATGAACAGCATCAGTTGTTAATTTTGGCTAGCTCTAGATGATGATGTTATTGGTCATTTTTTAGTTTATTTGCCTCTGTGTGTTTCTTCAATTAATAAGCATAATACTACAATCAGAAACATATGGCATAAAAAATTAAAGCTAGATTTATTATAGTTCTTAATAAACAAAGGGTTAGCTATATAGGGCAATAAAACATACAAGGAGCTACATAATAAATACTTATAAAACACATAAGTAAGTCCAAAGGAATTTTAAATTCTGAATCAAGTATGTTACGCTTTTAAACAATGTTGATATAAAATCCTTTCAATAGCCAACATTGCGTGGTGATGCTCTTGCCTTCATATACTCAATTCCTTAATAATCATGTTTCATTGTCTGTCCAACTCCAGGTATATCCATGCCAATACCAGTCTTTGGGCTACAGGACGATTCCAAGGTCTTTAAGGAGGGGAGTTGCTTACTCGCAGACGATAACTTTGTCCTGATCGGCTCTTTTGTGTCATTTTTCATTCCCTTAACCATCATGGTGATCACCTACTTTCTAACCATCAAGTCACTCCAGAAAGAAGCTACTTTGTGTGTAAGTGATCTTGGCACACGGGCCAAATTAGCTTCTTTCAGCTTCCTCCCTCAGAGTTCCTTGTCTTCGGAAAAGCTCTTCCAGCGGTCGATCCACAGGGAGCCAGGGTCCTACACGGGCAGGAGGACTATGCAGTCCATCAGCAATGAGCAAAAGGCATGCAAGGTGCTGGGCATCGTCTTCTTCCTGTTTGTGGTGATGTGGTGCCCTTTCTTCATCACCAACATCATGGCCGTCATCTGCAAAGAGTCCTGCAACGAAGATGTCATCGGAGCCCTGCTCAATGTTTTTGTTTGGATCGGTTATCTCTCTTCAGCAGTCAATCCGCTGGTGTACACACTGTTCAACAAGACCTATCGGTCAGCCTTTTCACGGTATATTCAGTGTCAGTACAAGGAAAACAAAAAACCATTGCAGTTAATTTTAGTGAACACTATACCGGCTTTGGCCTACAAGTCGAGCCAACTCCAAATGGGACAAAAAAAGAATTCAAAGAAAGATGCCAAGACAACAGAGAATGACTGCTCAATGGTGGCTCTAGGAAAGCAGCATTCTGAAGATGCTTCTAAAGACAATACCGACGCTGTAAATGAAAAGGTGAGCTGTGTGTGATAAGCTAGTTGCCATGGCAACTGTGGAAGGAACACTGAGCAAGTTTTCACCTATCCGGAAAAAAAAAAAAAAAAAAAGAGACTGGAAAATATTAGACCAGTCTAGTGAAACCAACGATCATATCTGTGCGCCTCATTTTATTCTGTCAATGAAAAGCTGGGTTCAATGCTACAAATGTGCACTTGGAAAATGTTCTGACAGCATTTCAGCTGTGAGCTTTCTGATACTTATTTTTAACATTGTAAATGATATGTCTTTCAAATGATTCACTTTTATTGTATAATTATGAAACCCTAAGTAATCTAAATTAACTTCTATTTTCAAATGGAAACCTTGCTGCTATGCTGTTCATTGATGGCATGGAATTGAGGTGGTTACCTATTGCTGTAAATAAAAATAGCTATGAATAGTGAAAATTTTATTGAATATAATGACCTCTTAAAGAAAAATTCTCTTTAAAACTTACTATGGTATATATTTTGAAAGGAGGAAAAAGACACTAAGATCAGTGTTACAAAATCTGTATTGCTAAGATAATTAAATGAAATACTTGACAACATATTTCATTCTTGCTTTTTCATAGATACCATTTTGAAATATTCACAAGGTTGCTGGTATTTGCTGCATTTCAAGTTAATTCTCAAAAGTGAAAAAAAAGATTTCAAATGTTATTCTGTAACTATTGCTGCTTTCTCTTCTACTTCTTGTGCTTTACTCTGAATTTCCGATGTGGTCTTGTTTAATATTTGTTCTTCTAGGTAAACTAGCAAAAGGATGATTTAATATTACCAAATACGTTTCTAGCAATTGCTCCTCTAAAACAGCACCATAGAAGTATTTGGTAACTTGCTGTGAAATGACTGCATCATGCATGCACTCTTTTGAGCAGTAAACAGTATATTGATGTATCTGTGTCAGGATTGAGGATGAACTTAGGTTTCTGGCTACTGACAGTAGTGGAGTCTTAGGACATCTCCGTAAAAAGCAGGTGACTTTCCTATGACATTCATCAGGTAAATTGATGCTTTCTAATCAATCAGTTTATATTATTTATTAAAACCATTCGGCTTGGTTCCGCCCTCATCAACTGAGTGTATATTTATGTGTGAAGCAAATTTCTAGATGTGAGAAATACAATTAAAACAAAATCCTTACCTTTAAAGAAAGTGGCTCGGCCAGGCACGGTGGCTCATGCATGTAATTCTGGCACTTTGGGAGGCTGAGACGGGAGGACCACTTGAGCCCAGGAGACCAATCTGGGCAACAAAGTGAGACCCCCGTCCCCGTCTCTGCAAAAAATTTAAAAATTAGCTGATCATGGTGGCACATACCTGTGGTCCCAGCTCCACAGGAGGCTGAGACATAAGGATCACTTGAGCCCAGGAGGTCAAGGCTGCAGTGAGCCAAAGGTCACACAACTGCATTTCACACACACACAAAAAGACCGAACTGAAATGGTCCTAGTAACAAAATATGAACAGACTTATTTTGAGAAAACTTTCAATTTATTTCCTTCTTACCTGATTCAGAAACAAGTTTGTTTCAACTGTGAGAGTAGCTTTCAAAAATAAGTTTTTCTGACTGGTTACCAATAAACGCCAAACAAACAAAGGTGGGGGAAATACCTCTGAGGCTTAACATTGCAATTACTTTAGAAATATGCACCTCAATCTCGACCCAGCTTACAACTACCATAGTTTTGAGCAAAGTTTTTCTTTTATTTCTCCAAAAACTCACTCATTTCAGTACTACTCCTTGGCACCGGGCTTCCCAATAGAAAAGCAGACATTATAATATTTTGTAGAAATGGTTGCTAAAGAGCAAAAGAGATCAAGAACTGTTAATCTACCTTGATTTTATAACACTCAAGGTTAAATTGCACGTTGTTACTGGAATCACTGTTAGATATATGATTACAATGCTGAAGCATTTCTATTGAATGAGAAATCATTTTTGCCCTAAAACTTGGGGGAAAAAACACAGATTTGAAAACTAAAGAATGTGGGAAGTGTCCTTGTGTAATTTGGAAATGCATAAAATTCTAATTATGTCCTCTTAGATATGTTGAAAAATGGGTTCACTATTTCAAAGCTAGAATGTATAATATGCTGCTAGTGCCAAGGCTGCAACTGAACTGAACTTTTCCTTATGATGATGCCACGCTAGCTGATGAAAATATAGATGTTAAAACGTCTCTGCTCTAATGTATGTTGCCTTCACTTATAACTCTGCACATTTCATTATATAGTAGGGAAAAGATTACAGATTCTACCCCCATGTACTCAATCTTGATCAGAATGAACATTCATGATGCCTGACAGATGTCTTTTGACTACCTATATATTACAAATGTATACGTGTTTTTTTCTTCCATAAGTATTCAAGTGTATACTGTATAGGCAAATGTGTAGCTGTATATATGTACAGACATGTTCTCAAGCACTTTATTCAATATTTATATATTTATATGGAGGAAAAGCAAGTCAATGAAAACACTCAGTATATACACATGTGTGCATGTTTGTATCATGTTTATTTAAATGTGAATTCATGTTCTAATATTTCTATGACCTTCCATTGCTGTCAAAGCAGATTAAAGTTTAACAAAAATATCAGCTGTTTAAATAAACTGGAAGTTAATCTAATTTTGTGGAAGAACTTTAAGATAAATCTATGAGAGTGGCAAAAACAATGGTCCACATATATAGTTTCTTGATCCTAAATAAAATGGTACCTTTGGGCCCTTTGGCGATTTTGACTACTATGGCTTTTTAAACAGATTCACACCTGAGTGAAACACAGTTGTCAAATGATTTATGGATCGGTGATTAAAGGATTCACTTTTAATCGACACTATTATAACGGAGTAACAAACCTTGCTCTACTTTAAGTTGAACGATAGATTTCTCTATATTCAAAAAAGGCAATTAACTACTGTAGTTAGGGAAAACTCAGTTTAAAGCATACTTCATCTACTTGGCCACAGCGCCATCTCATGCTAATTTTTTAAAGTGCTACCGTAGCCAAATTGAACGAAGTTACTGTACTGCTTTTAGCAAAGGGTGCTTCTCACGTTTGTGCATCAATGAGACATATTTATAAAGTGCTAAATTATTCTGTGCCATATGTAACAAATACAGTGAAGATTATTTTATGAACTTATTTTAATCAAGGTGATTATAAAAGTTTTCAAGAAAGAAGAAATAACTGTAAATAAAGTATACTCCAAAATGAATGCAATTTTGTGTGGGTCCATAGCTGTGTCTACTAAATGGAATTACCCCAAATCTTCCAGGTCATCAGACTCAGAACTCCAGGTATCATCCTGATATTTGGAAGCAAAAAGAGCCTGTGCTTCTGGAAGTCAACCATGTCACAAAGCTAGGATCCATCTGATTGGATCAGCTTTATCATCAGGATCCAATATCTAGTTATCTGCAGTAAAAATATACTCCATGTCTGATCACGATGTCTGGTTCCACAAAGCTGAGGAACACAGAGAAGAACTTCAGTGTCCTAAGAGATGTGCACAGGTACATTTGGTGTACACCAAGACATGCACACAGGTGCGCATATGCACAGACGCATCAACATATGCACACACACACACACTCTTTCACAGGAGATCATTTCAGGAATTAAAGTAAACCAAGGAGGTATGGTATCATTGAACAAACTGGAAAGTTACCCTCATTCATCAGTTCATCTTCAACTGCAGGGAAAGTATATTGGGTGCCTACTGTGTGCCAGGCACTAAGCTGGTTGCTTTGCTTGCTTTACCAAATGTAATTTCACAACAATCTGACAAGGTAGAATTATTTTTATTTTTTCACAGATGAAGAAAGTGAGATTCAGAGCAGTTATTAACATTCAAAGTCTCACTGCGGGCAAGAAAATTGGCGAGTTTAAGCCTGGCTCATCTGACTCCAAAGAATAAAACATTTCCCATCCTCATGCAGTACAGGGGAAAGATCACCTGTCAAAACCACAATAGGAGAGTTCCCCTGTTGGCTACTCACTGGTTATGTGAATTGGAACGAGTCTCTTAACAATTCTGGGCTTCAGTTTCATTGTCTGTGAAATGCAGCTTCTGGTACCTGTCCTGGCCACTCAACAGAGTAGATCATGCCTATGGCTGTGCTCGATAACACATGAAACACCATGTAAATGTAATCAATGTGTTATTAAAAAGGAAAAACTCCAAAGCCTCTGTAAATTATTAGCCATCAGAGCAAACTCTAGACAAAACTGTGGGAAAGGCAATATTATGATACAGCTGCTCCTGCTACTCTTTTGGTGAGTGTTTCTCTTTTTTAAAAAAAATTTACTTCTGCTTTGTCCTCATCTTAATGCAGATCTCCCTCCTTTGGGGCTCTTTCTTACTACTTACATAAAAGCTTTCCATCCTATGTGCCATTCCCTCAGGTGTCAACTCTCTGGAAGATTCCTAATAAGAAATTGAAGCTGATATGCCACTGTGTGTAATTGACTGACATCTCTTCAACAGCCCACCATGATGAAAACCCAAAAGGCAGAAATCAAAGGAAAACTATTAGGCATCAAGGAGACGAGTGAGAAGAAAATCTGGGGATAAGAAATATACTCCTAGTAGCCGGGGGTGGTGGCTCATGCCTGTAATCCCAGCACTTTGGGAGGCTGATGTGGGTGGATCATGAGGTCAGGGGTTCGAGACCAGCCTGACCAACATGGTGAAACCTGATCTCTACTTAAAAATATAAAAATTAGCTGGGCGTGGTGCTGCACACCTGTAATCCCAGCTACTTGGAAGGCTGAGGCAGGAGAAATGCTTGAACCCAGGAGGTGGAGGTTGTGGTGAGCTGAGAGCACGCCACTGCACTCCAGCCTGGGCCACAGAGCAAGACTCTGTCTCAAAATAAATAAATAAATAAAAGGAAATATTCTCCTGGTATCCCTCAAATGACCAACAAAAAAGAGAAAACAAGTACCTTCAAACAATTCATAATTTATATAAAGTTTTATAACTGAACATTGAATTTAATCCACAATAATAATGATAATATTGAAGAAACATTCATGACTTCGATGATTTTATTCTAAACTGAGAATATTAATGATGTATTTGTCCCAGCATATAAGCAATAAGACAAGACTTCTTTGTGAATGTCTATTTTGGCATGTGGCTTGCTAAAACAAATGTGTTTTTAAAAATTTTTCCTTAATGGTATACACACCTATCTTAGTTCTGAACTTCTTTTTTGATATTAACACCAGTATGTCCATCTGAGCCAATACTTTATGAGAAGTCTTCATAACCAATTGGAATCTTTTTTCACATGGCCCAATCGCAGCAGAAGACAGACAGGAAACCGAGGTCCAGCCCGCTGCTGTCATCTGACCTTGGACAAATCCGAGCTTTTACTCCTTGAAATGTATAATAAAGGATGTAGGGTCAATGATCTCAGCAAGGAGTCTCTTCTACGGCTATGCTTATTGGAACACTAGAGAGTCCAAACGAGGCCTTGTTGAACCAAGGCACAGCAAAGGATAATCTGGACCGTACAACACTCATATGTTCTTAAATTCTCTAGACGAATTGCAAATAAATGACAACTTTGTCTTTTATATGGGAATCTTATGAGATAAATCAAATTTCTAGTTTATCTAAGGAGTTTCTAAGATATGAGACCAGGAGGCGAATAGCAACATAAATGTTCTTACAATGGTATTTTCCTCACAGTTGGCCTCTCTTCTGCACAGCTCATAGCTACTAAAATATTTTGGGTTGCCCTTTCTAATAACCCTCAGGCTTCCTGAAGAACAAGTATTCCTACTATGTGAGTTCAATCTCCCTGAAGGGTTAAAATTAAAAAGCCCAAGTTGATTTAGAATTCATGGTGCAGAGAAGGTCTCTTTTTTAAAAGCTAGATTTATGTTGACAGTATGCCAAGGTCACTTAAGTTTTCATTTATAATTGAGATTATGGGACCTTAAAAAAGTGTTTATTCTGTCTTCTAGAGAACAGCACAATTTGTACTTCCTGTCCTACACTTATTTCAGATATTGAAAAGTAACATATGCTATTATTCTGATAATCTTGCGTTAGTAGGGGTGACCCTAAGAGCAGAGGTAAGACTCAGGTGCAGGTTATTTACGTGGGCGATGATCTGAGGAAGCAGACAGCATTAGAGAGGGAAGAAGTAAAAGTTCACGTAACTGTGTGTTCAGTGTGTTACATAAGCAAAAATATACTCAAATTGGGTTGAGCAACCAGTGCTGCAAACTCATTTATTCTCTTATCAGGTTTGCTAGTGAGGGTCTACCACGTGTATGTTATATGTAAGACTATGAAGTGTGGGAAGTCCGGGGATGGAATTATTCTTTTAAAAAACCTGAATAAGATACTGGGTGGGGAGATTATTCTACCTCTTTACAAAATGTATGTTTATTTTGTTGAGCCTACCAACGTTGTCACAAATTAGCCTAAGTAATATAGGATAACTTAATACACCTACCGGGAGATGCCATGTTGCACATGAGAAGATGTCCCTTAAGGCATTGCCACCACCTGATGCTGATGTTTCAGCCACTTTAGACACTGGCGAAAAGCAGAGTTGTGTGGGCCAATGGCAAAAGTGTTAAGAATATAGAATTTTAGAATTAGTTTAACGGGTGAAAAAATGAAAATTAGCTAGAATGTGCAGTATCACTATCTCCAGGCTCCATTGTTAAAGTTCTGCATTCTAAGACCTAGGACCACAATGGGGTACATAAGGAAGAATATCTAAAAAATGGGAATTAAATCAACATAGGCAAGCAATCCAAGAGGCATTTTTAAAAAGAAGAAAAAAGGAAATGAAAAACTAAACAATGATAAATATCAAAACAAATCTGTTCAACATGTATACGTGTGATGACACGCCTCTCTTACACTCTGAAAAGGGAATATATTTATTAGTCTTTAGTTCCTAGAGACAAGAAGGTAGGCTTTTTATTCCGAACTAGCAGAAAAGTAGGAAATGTTAGTTATTCATAAGTGATTACAAGTGGGACAAAATTAAGACAACTAAACATTTCCAAGGCTGAAGAACAAGAAGAGTGATTTGCGTGAAAATGTAACACTACATTTATTCTTCTAATGTAATCACCAGAGAACTTGACTATGATTAATTAGCCCTGCACTTCTCTGAAATAGAATGTGGAAGCTATGACTCACTTTGGCCCTGATCCTCTCCGCCAAATAGACCTAAGTCTGAAAACTTATTGGGACCACTCAAAAAAAAAATCTTGTCAAACTTAGAATTATTATCACTGTCATGAGGCAAATATCAAGTTAGCTCCATTTATATTAAGCATAATAAATAAAATATTGAAAAACTATTAGTGCATTTATATAACACTCTGCTTTGAGAAATTTGCTTTAGTAGCTTTGAAAGACAAAATATTCTGCCTTAGATGAGAATTTTTTTTATTTGATTTAAATACCAGCTTCTTTTGCTAATAGCTTTGAGTAATTTTACTTGGTTCTAAGAATTTGAGCAAAGTACAGCTAGCCACTTGTAGGTAGGCAATAATGTACATATAAAGCATACCCTAACCATGTTTTCACATTTTTTTGAAACAGAGTGATTAAATCCAGAAACATCCAACCTATTTATCTTGCTACAGCAAGGAAAGCAGAAGGAATGTCGAAGGAAGATACTGAAGTTGATATTTATTGAGCAACAATTTTGTGCTGAGTGCTGTCACACATTCATCACAATAACAGCTATTTATGTCTCAATAACCATAGAGGAAACTGAACCTCAAAGGTAAATTTGACCAATTCTACCAAGCTAAGGAGAAGAATCAGAATACAAACATGAATATGTGAATGTTAAACTTTTACTGTTTCTTATTTCCACTGTTCTAAAGATCAGAAAATATTTTCTATAAGGATCCAAATAGTACATGTCTTAGGTTCTGTTGTATGAAAACAGCCATAGGCAATAAGCAAATAAGTAAATGTGACTATGTTCCAATAAAACTTTATTTACAAAAACAGACTCTGGGTTAGATTTGAGCCATGGACTATGTAGTTAGCCAATCCCCAGATGCTGCCATCCAACAACAGTAACAATCATTACCACAAATACAACAACCACAACATATACTACTACCCTCCTACCACCATCACATCTATTTATTTGAGCCCTTAGTAAATGTTAAGTATTATGATATATATTTTAATATATTCTTATAATGCAAACAATACAC